GAGCATGGCGCATGACAGCTACAATGATTCCCAGAGTTGGCAGACCCATTGGGGTTTGTCCACAAAATCGGGTGCTTGGAGTGGAATTGCTAAACCAATAAGATAAACATCTTGTCTAGAGGTGTCTCGAGGGCCATCCAGGTTTCTAAGGGCCCTGTGGGTCATTCCCCTTGCACGATGACTCCTTCTTAGCTCGTGGGCTGGATTTGGCCTGTGTGCTGTAGTTTAGAGCCTGCTGTCAAGTGGAGATATCAAGGAACAAAATTAATCCTCAGAATTAGCCGGGAAAGTATCCTAGAGTGGTCTCATATATAAATTAGCCAACATTCTTCAGTTGAGTATCTGATATATGTGAAGTATTCTGTGGTCGTCTTCCTTGATATAAAGAAAGGAAGAAATACATTCTGGTTTTATGGGACTCACAGTCTCTTGGGGAAGGTTGGGGAGAGCAAAAACAGGACACTTGAACAGCGTACTTAACAAACAAGTAGGTTGGGATAGTCAAGACTAGAATTTGAGTCTGGAGACATTTGAGTTAAATTTTGGGTGGGGGAGGGGCATCTGGGTGGCTCAGTTGAGCTTCCGACTTCAGCTCAGGTCATGATCTCACAGTTTGTGAGTTCGAGCCCCACATCGGGCTCTGTGCTAAGCTCGGAGCCTGGAGCCTGCTTCGGATTCTGTGTCTCCTTCTCTCTCTGCCCCTCCCCCACTTGTGCTGTGTCTGTCTCTCAAAAATAAATAAAATATTTAAAAAAATTTATAAAAGAAAATTTTGGGTGGGGGATACCAGGGGTTCCAGACAGAAGAGCAGGCCAGTGAAAACAAGGTTGGGGTTTGTGAGGTTTAGGAGATCCCAGTTTCCAGTTTGTAACCAGATTGGCTTTTTACCAGTATAGAAGCCTTACAGCATGGGAAGTTTCACACTTGGGTTAAAGTATTTTATCCAGATTTGTTTACATTTAGAGAGATTCCCTTGTGGGCTGTAAAGGAACTTTTTAATAATTCTTTCTTTTACATATTTTCTGTAGCTGAAAACATGTGTTAAGCTGCTCTCAGTGATTCATTTTAGAAGTGGAAGGGCATGTTTTAGTATACGTGAGCTGTGACTCATTTCCCTCAAGCCTCGTTTTTCCATAAATTTAGAAATTAGCAAGTCATGAGCACATGGGAAGAAACGATGCTTGAATTTTGAGCCCTGATCACCATAGTTGACTTCATCCTTGCACCCCTAACAGCCAAGGGCCCAAGATAACCAGGGTGGGGACCTTGCTCTAGCCAATGAAGCAGTTCTGTGGGGTAGAAATAGTGGGGAAATTGTGTGCCACAAGCTGAGGGCAGAAAGCGTTTCAGAAGGGTGGGCTGAGGTAGCCAGGGAAGGTGGGTCTTGCTCTCCTCTTGAAAGGAGGAGGAGGTGGAGCCAGAACCTGAGGCCTGTGGGGAAGAAGAGAGTGGGCCAGGGCCAGAGAGCCATGTCGAACCGAGCAGGACACTGCCTCATGCCTCAGCAAAGGGGCTGCGGCTGGGATGGCAGCTTGGAACTGACATGATAGACCCTTGGGAGCTGTAAGTTTTCAGTGATGAATGTGTGACCCAGTCCATCCTGATCATGGAGAAACATTAGTAGACCCTTGGGCAAGATACAGATGAGTCTTCAGTTGAAACTCTGGTAGTTGGAGTTCTGTCCTTGACCCGTGCACCTGCCTCTGTACATGAGGAGAAAGATTTGAACAGTCATTCGGATCCCCTACCCTCTCACAGACTCCACTCTTGCCTCTCCTAACCCCCTGCCCTCTCTACTGGCTCTTCCTCACCACATGTTCAAGCGGGCTTTGCATCCAAACAAGAATGAGCCCATGTGAAACAGAGCCTTGGCTCCCACTGGTGCCCTTCCCTGCAGCTCAAGCTTGGAGTTGTCTCTGCTTGTCATCTGCTCCTTACCCGACCTGCTGAACACTGGGCTCTCACTGGGCCATCAGATTTCAAACTGGTGGAACTCTTGGTTATGTCTTGTTTGGCCTAGTAGCACTTGACCCCTCCTTGCTGCCCCTCCTATTCTGTCTGCCACAGCACCACAAGCTGGGTTTTATTCCCACAATGGCCCACATCTCTCCCCTTGCCAGTTCCCTCCTTGAACCAGTTTTCTGTAATCTCTGTCTAGTTCTGCCTCTCCAAAGCTCTTAAGGTCACCTGTGGTATTGCCTGATGGATCATTCTCAGTACTCCCCTTAACCAAGCATCATTGGCGATAATTGAGCACTCCTTAGAAAAACACTGTTGACTGCTAGGACTCTGCACGTGACTGGTTTGCTCCTACCTTTCTGGCCGTTGCTATGTGCTTTTTTTCTCACCTTCCTGACCACTAAATGCTGGAGTTTAGAGGAAGTTAAAAAGTCAAGAAGGTAACCAGTGTTGGGGGCATTGTGGAAACCACACAGGTACGGACACCTTACACACTGGTTGGCTGGCTCTCAGCTGGCGGCAGGTGAGGGAGGCCATGTGTTTCTCAATCTCCAACAGCCTGGCTGGGCTTGTTCACATGGTGATTCAGCTCCAGGAAGAGTGTGCCAAAACTTTCCAAGTCTGTTTGCTTCACATTTGCCACCATCCCATCAGCCTAACCAATTCCTAAGTCCAGGCCCGATGCAAAGGTGAGGGAAGACCTCTCAATGGAAGAAACAAAAACCATGTAGAAGGGTGTGGAAGCAGGGAAGGGAAAGAAACTGGCCATTTGCAGTGGAAGTATGGTAAATCCTCATGGATCTTCTAATACCAGTCTTTCAGTCTTTGAAATACCCAATCTGGATCAAGGTTCCCCCACTTGATCCTTGAGGACCATCCCCAAGATTTGTAATCAAGAGAATTGCCTAACAAATAGGAAGAATGCTGCTCTGGTAAATATATCACACCCTGATCCCAAAAGGAGCCTAGAAAATGCCCTGTTAATGGTTAGGGTCCAGCAGGAAACATGGCTTACTCAAACCAGTTGATGGAGGAGTAAGTACTCAGTAGAGGAGTAAGTACTCAGTAGAGGAGTAAGTACTCAGTAGGAGTAAATACTCAGTAAGTACTCAGTAGAGAAGCTAACTGCATAGGTGTAGTTGGGGTTTAGGGAAACCAGTGAGAGGGTACAATGCCAGGGGCAGCCAGCACCACTGGGGAGCCATTGATGCTTTCCTCCCCACCCCACAAGCTAAAGATCTGCAAAGAGACCAGTCACCAGAACCTGTAGAGAGGGCCTATGTGGGAGAAATCCACCTGACAAAGACGGCCTGCGGTAGAGAGAGCCAACCCGTGCTTCCCAGTGAGAAGGAACCAGAATAAGTACTCTGACCCCACTTTCCCACCCACCAGTCTCTGCCAGCGCCTCACTGGCTGAACTCAGCTGAAAGCTAGAGCTCGTGGGGTCAACATAATACCAGCTAAACTGGTCAACTGATGCCCTGGTGGCTGTTACGGGTTGAAATCTAACCCCCAAAAGATATGTTGGAAGACCTAACCCCTGGTACCTGTGAATGTGACCTCATTTGGAAACAGCATCTTTGTAGATGTTATCAAATTAAAATGAGTTCATTCGAGGTCATGCTGAATTAGGGTAGGCCTTAATCCAGTGTGATTAGTGTATTTGTCTGCTGGGGCTGCCATAATGAAGCACCATAGACCAGGTAGCTTAAACAACAGAATTTCTTATCACAAGATTCTGGAGGCTGGAAGTCGAAGTCTGCAGGCTTGCTTTCCTCTGAGGCCCCTTGCTGTCTTGCAGATGGCCACCCTCTTGGTGCCTCTTCACGTGGTCTTTTCTCCTTTCTCTGCATGTCCCAATCTCCTCTTTTAAAAAGATCCTTTGGGGGACCTAGGTGGCTCAGTCAGTTGGGCGTCCGACTTCAGCTCAGGTCATGTTCTCACGGCTCGTGGTTCGAGCCCCGTGTCAGGCTCTGTGCTGACAACTCAGAGTCTGGAGCCTGCTTCAGATTTTGTGTCTCCCTCTCTCTGGCCCTCCCCTGCTCACGCTCTGTCTCACTCTCTCTCAAAAATAAATAAAACATTAAAAAAATTTAAAAAGACCCCTCAGTTTGGATTAGGGCCCACCCTGAAGGCTTCCTTTTAACATAATTATGTCTTTAAGACCCTATCTCCAAATGCAGTCACATTCTGAGGTACTGGAGGCTAAGGCTCCAACATGTGACTTCGGGGGGAACAGGATTCAGCCCATAACAATCAGTGTCCTTACAAGAAGACGAGACACACAGACTGAAGACAACCCTGTGAAGATAGAGGCAGAGACTGGAGTGATGCAGCCACAAGCTGAGGACTGCCTGGGGCTACTAGGACCAAAAAAGACAAGGAAGGATCGTCCCCTAGAGGCAGGGAAAGAGCATGGCCATGCCAACACTAACTTTGGACTCTCCTTTAGAACTGTAAGAGAATAAATTTCTGTTGTTGTAAGTCACCCAGTTTGTGGTAATTTGTTACAACAGCCAGAAGAAGCTAATACAGTGGCCTACAGTGTACCCCTTAATGATACCATCCAGAAGTGGCCTTGAGGACATCCCTTTATCAATGCACTAAAAATGGTGCTGGTGAGGAGGCATCAGTGTTCATTACCACTATCAAGGATAGTGACAGTGACAGTGCTGGGTAATTTCTGTTTACCCCTCCACATCCACTCTCCACTCCATTCTTGCCCCAAGAAGCTGACCTGTATGAACTGCAGGGAGCCATATTTGGCAGTCCATTCAAGCCAGCATCATGGGGAGCTGACTCTAGGCCACTTTGAACACAGGCTTCAGATAAGAAATCTAGTGGACCTGAACACCATTCCCCAGCCAACACATTAAACCCTGAATTCCATTTTGAGAAGTTCAGCTCCAGTAAGCCTTTTATAATTCATTGTCCTTCTGGGAGCCTTGGAGTCCATTACTATGATTCTTCCCAGACACCTGCCAGCACAGAGGGATGAGGCTCTGCCAGGGCCTGTTCAGCTCTGCCCTTCCACTACCGGCATGGTACTTTTCCATCTGGCATATGTTGGGATCAAACTATTCCTGTGGCCTGGAGGCACTAAGGAGGAGAATGGGTGAGTCCTTGAGGTTGTAATTGGCGTCAGCAGGAGAGGTAGCTGCCCCAGGTGTGTTCATGGAAAGGTGTTCCTGCAGGGGGAGGCTGGCTGGGCTGAGGCAAAGGGATTTAGAGGTCAAGGTTTTCAGCCTCCTCTGCGTCAACCCATAGCTCAAGGTCCCACTCTTTCCCATCAGTGCCCTTAGCATGCGAGACCGGATAGGGCCAAGCATTTCATTGGCAGTGCAACTCTGCAACCCTTACAGTCCAGCCCTGGACAGCCATTTCTCCCCTGCAGCCATAACGAATACAGGAATTCCATCAGAGCTTTCTGGTTTCCCACTTAGGTTCTACATTGACCATAAATAACTACCTTCAGTTTGTCCTTCTCCCTGTCCTCCCTATACACTTGGGAGCCCATCAGAAGTGGCTAGGTGACCTCACTGTCTTTCCAGTTCCCTTTGTTGCCACAAGGACTGTTACTCAGACCTTTGATCTACCATTGCTTTGCTCTCCTAGGATGTCACCAGTGATACTTTGAATGCCTGAGATGCCACTGCGTGCTATGTGTTACCAGTGTCCCATTGCTCGCTTCTTAAATATGTGAGCAACACAGTCCCCAATCCCATTTTGAGGGTCTGTTTCCCAGACCCACTGCCCGGACATTCACTGTATGTAGCAGATGGGGTCCTGGCTGGAAATAGATGGCCTGCATGAACTGGGTAGTCAAGAAGAGCCTAATAAAGGCCTACAAAGGCAAAGTTTAGGTGGATGAAGGGGTGGGGTTCAGTGGCCCAGGGCTGGCAACTCCAGGGAGGTGATTGCCACCACCAGGTCTGAGGCAGCAAGGGAGAGTAGAAAGCTAGAGCCTTCCATAGAGGTAGGGGGGCACCCCATGGTACCCTGGCAGGGGACCCAGATAGTGAGGCCTATACCATGTGCTGCAAATGCTCTGGCTTTGAGGTGGCTTATAGGAAAGGATATGTGTACAGTCAGGTTGATAAAAGAGTAATATAAAATGAGGACAAAGAGAGGAGGGAAAAGACATCATACAGTTCCTGTTATCGAGCATTTAATTTTGTTCTGAGTTTCTTTTTTTAATCTTTTTTTAACATTTATTTATTTTTGAGACAGAGAGCATGAACAGGGGAGGGGCAGAGAAAGAGGGAGACACAGAATCGGAAGCAGGCTCCAGGCTCTGAGCTGTCAGCCCAGAGCCTGATGCGGGGCTCGAACTCACGGACCGTGAGATCGTGACCTGAGCTGAAGTCGGACGCCCAACCGACTGAGCCACCCAGGTGCCCCTGTTCTGAGTTTCTTAGTAGCCAAGGCAAACAGGGGGAACCACAAATTGTTTGCTTCTCATTGCTAGAAAAAAGAAAGATGTCAGACATTTTGGGAGGAGAGAGTTTATCCTGGCACTAAAGTTTAAGACAAAATTCAGACATAGGACTTTAACAGAGGAGAAACAAATACTAGAAGGCATAATAAATGTGCCCCAAAACAAGTTTATAGTAAATTCAAATGTAGTTTTGAAAAACAAACCAAGGATGCTGGTCTTTCTTGCAAAGACAAACAGTATTAGTTAAGGGTATCGCACCATTGCACAAATCAGTGGAGACAATACTTGTAATGGGTCAAGCCCAGAATTCCCAGTAGGCTTCATCTATTATTGGTAGGTTGTAGCTGCCTCAACTTTTTTGTATTGAGAATCACCTGGCTCAAAAGGCTATGATGGATTAGATGCTGCTGCAGGCAGGGATTGGAGAATGGAGGTATGCCTGGAGGAAACATGTCAACCTTGACCTAAGCTGATATAGGCCACTGGTCATATTAAATCTTTGAATCTACAGTATCCAGCAGAGTGATGGATAGGTTATCTTTTTTTTTTTTTTAAGTTTATGTATTTATTTTGAAAGAGTGTGTGTGCATGAACAAGGGGGAGGGTGAGAGAGAGAGAGAGAGAATCCCAAGCAGGCTCTGCATTGTCAGTGCAGGGCCAATGTGGGGCTGGATCTCATGAACCATGAAATCATGACCTGAGCTGAGATCAAGAGTTTGATGCTTAACCAACTGAGTCACCCAGGTGGCTCCAGATAGCTTATCTTTAACTTTTTTTAATGTTTATTTTTGAGAGGGAGAGAGAGAGAGAGAGTGAGCAGGGGAGGGACAGAGTGGGAGGGGGACACAGAATCCAAAGCAGGCTCCAGGCTCTGAGCTGTCAGCACAGAGCCCAACATGGGGTTCAAACTCACGAACCGTGAGATCATGACCTGAACTGAACGAAGTTGGACACTTAACTGACTGAGCCACCCAGGCACCCCCCTCCCCATTTTTAAAAACTTTCTTAATGTTTACTTTAAGATAGCTTATCTTTATCAGAGATTTTCAATCTTCTAAGGCTTCACCTCAACATTGCTTGCCAGCACCCAGGAGCACACCCAGCATTACCCACAGTCCCCCAAAGAGCAACTGTAACTACACACCTTCTTCACTCACCCCAGAAGCCATAAGGGAGTGGAAGCAATGTCACAGCAGGGATAATGTCATATCTATTTTAATTTCTAGTTTTACAAGTAAATTTGCAGATTCTGGGCTTTAGGTCATGTTTAGAAAGACTTTTTCTACTTTCAGATTCTCTCATTCTACCAGTACTTTCTTCATTTAAACCTTTGATCAAAGGTTTGTTATTTAGAATTTACCTTGGTATCAAGAAGAAGAATGTGATCCAACTTCCTTTTTTTTTTTTCCCAAACTGCTATACAGTTGTTCCATCTTTCCTTCATTTTAATAATACACCAAATCCCCAAATATTTTTAGGCTTATTTTTGATCTCCATTATATTCTCTTGACATCTATCTATACATTCAAATTATGGGTTGAATTGTGTCCTTTCCCTTCTACCCTGCCAAAAGATATGTTAGAGGGGCACCTGGGTGGCTCAGTCGGTTGAGTGTCCGACTTTGGCTCAGGTCATGATCTTGCAGTCTGTGAGTTCCAGCTCCACGTCGGGCTCTGTGCTGACAGCTCAGAGCCTGGAGCCTGCTTTGGATTCTGTGTCTCCCTCTCTCTCTGCCCCTCCCCTGCTCATGCTCTCTCTCTCTCTCTCTCTCTCTGTCAAAAATAAATAAACATTTTAAAAAAGTTTTAAAAAAACAAAAAACAAAACAAAACAAAAGATATGTTAGAGTTGTAACCCCCAGTACCTCAGAATATGACCTTATTTTTACAGAGGGTCATTGCATATGTAATTCGTTAAGATGAGATCATACTGAAGTAGGGTGGGCCCCTAATTCAATATCACAGGTATCCTCATAAGAAGAGGGAAACATAAGGACACCCGGGTGGCTCAGTCAGTTAGGTGACCAATTCTTGATTTTGGCTCAGGTCATGATCTCATGGTTTGTGAGTTCAAGACCCACTTTGGGCTCTCTGCTGCCACAGTGCAGAGCCTGCTTGGGATTCTCTCTCTCTTTTTCTCTCCCTCTCTCTCTGCCCCTTCTGTGTACTCTCTCTCAAAAATAAATAAATAAAATTTAACAAAAGAGGGAAATTTGGATACACACACAAGACACACAGGGATAGTACCATGTGATGATGGGTGGAGATAGGAAGGAGCAATGTATCTGCAAAATCAAGGAACATCAACGATTGATGGCCACCATCAGAAACTAGGAGGAGGCAAGAAAGGATCCTCTCCAGAGTCTCAGAGTGAGCATGGCCTGTTCACACCTTGATTTCAGGCTTCTAATCTTTAGAACTGGAAATGAATAGATTTCTCTTGTTTTGAGCCACCCACTTTGGGGTACTTTATTATAGCAGCCCTAAGAGACTAATACAATACATCAACACCACATTACTTTAATTTATGTAGCTTTGTAATACTTTTTTAATGTGTAATGGATACAGTCACCCTCATTATTCTTTTATGGAATTTTTCTATGCATTTTTAATTTTTCCATGCAAACTTTAGAAATGCTTATTTCAAAAAAAAAGAGAGAGAGGGAGGGAAGGAAGGAAGGAAGGAAGGAAGGAAGGAAGGAAGGAAGAAGACCCACTGGTATTTTTTATTGGGCTTATATTCATTTTTTAAAAGTAATTTTCTGAGAACCAACATCTTTATACTATGGAATCTTTATGTCTAAGGGCAAGATTAATAAATATGGCCACATAAGAATAAAACATTTCTGCCTGGCTAAAACAACCACAAATATAAAGGACAAATTAACAAAGAATATTTGCAAACCACAAACTAATAAAAAGAAGAATAACACATCAATAGAAAATGTACTAAGGGGGCACCTGGGTGGCTCAGTTGGTTAAGGGTCCAGCTCTTGATCTCAGCTCAGATCATGATCTTACGGTTGTGAGTGTAAGCCCTGAGTTGGGCTCCACACTGGGCATGAAGCCTACCTTAGAAAACAAAACAAAACGTACTAAAAACACAAATGGTAAGCTTCACTGAAAAGAAAATTAAAATTTTTTCTAAACATATGAACAGATGCTCAACCTCATCCATATAAAAGGAATGCAATGAGATATCTTTGTTTTCCTTTCTTTACTCTTATCAAATTGGCAAATGTAAATACACTTAATATATTTGCAAGAGTGTGGGATACCAGACACTCTCAAATCTCATACATTGTTGACAGGAGTGTATAACCTTTACAGAAAGCAATCTGAATATATGAGAATTTTAAATGCATACACTCTTTAACTAAGCATTTCCTCTTCTAGAAATTTACCCTAAAATACGTTCACACAAAAGGTGTGTAAATAATATTCTTGGGTACATAATACAAAAGAGTGGCATATCTAATATTAGTACACAAATTACAGAATATTCATACATCAGAATACTAAGTAACTGTAACTATACATAAGTATAGTTCATAAGTATGGCTACAGAATGATTTATATTTAGTGAAAAAAGTGGGTTGCAGAACAACATGTATAGGATGCTGACATTGAGTTTAAAAGGGGAGGGACCATATAGGTACAGACACCTACATATACACA